TTCAGCGCGCGCACACACACACACACACACACACACTCAGGAATCATTGGAGTTTAAACAAGGTAGCTTCCTAGTAAACATTACAGGATAAGCTAATTGCTTATAAAAATCTATCTGATGCACAGAATTATTGAATAGGAACTACTTCAGAGCATATGACCAAAGTGTTGTTTTACTAGAGTTTGATTAGCCAGTTTTTAAAATCAAATGAGCAAGATTAATTGCTTATCAATGTCAGTGGTACTTTAGAACAATAATTCTGTATTTTGACATTAATAGAGTCCGAGGGACATGCACTCTGATATAGCTTCAATCTGTTAAAATGCTATCATGGCAATATGTTAAAAGCCCCATGCTTTTCCAGAGGTGGCTGAATCTAGAGTGTGTGATTGATCCATGTTGGGGCTAGGCCTGGGCGCACTAGGGTTAAGGATGTGAGTGGTACCCACCCTAAGTAATGTGAGTAAGATAAAAGGGGCAGAAAGACCCTGTTAAATTCTCTTGTTGCTTTGCTACTGTCTGTCCGCCATAAACTGTTGCGCGTCTGCCACCCTGCCTAGGAGTCAGCTGATTATGGACTGAAACCTCTCTGAACTGTAAGCTGAATAAACCTTTTCCCCTTTAACTTTGGGTGTCAGGTATTTTGTCTCAGCAATGAGAGAAAAGTAAGGAACACAATGTTTCTTTTTCTTCTTTTTTAATTTTTAATTTTTCAAAGGCAGAGTCTTGGTGTGTAGTTCTGGCTGGGCTTGAGCTTGCAATGTAGCCCAGGCTGGCCTCTAATTTGAAATCTTCCTGCTTCAACTTCCCAAATTCTGGGACTATAGGTATGCACTACCATGCTCAGCTTACATTGTGTCTTTTAAAAAGATTTTATCCACCTGTATTACAAATTTAGTTTTTTTTCATCCCCCACAAGAGACAATTTTAAAGGAAGATGGGTCAAAATACAGTGGTTTTTATTGTTTTGCATTATCTAATCAAATTGGCAGTATGCTTTCTTGAAGCTTTTCTAAAGTCATTAGACTATTGGCTATTCTTTTGGCATTTTGATTTTTATCTCAAATTTTCTCTTTATATTTTTAAGCAAGTGTACAAATGTATACCTTAGAGAGAAGTTGTCCTCCACATGTCTAAAAGTAATTACTTAATTGATTAATTACTGATAGCATTAATTATGACTGAGGAACAGAAAAGCATAAAATAAAATAATAACTAGATAATTATTTTTTAAATGATTATAAAAGTACATTGAAAAATTTGCTTTCGTAGAAACTGTTTAGTTTAGTGTTCATATACTTCCTGCTTAAATTCCTCACTGGTATTTCTAGTCATTTCCTAGATCAATAGTAATCAGCTATTATGTGATTTCTATAGATATTTCATTTTAATACTGCTTGTGTCTGTCATGGTCCTCTGAATACACACTTGACCTAATTAATTCTATAAATTATTACCTTCTTTTTTTGTCTTTTTAACATGAAAGAATTATGAAGGCTTTTGATTATATTTCCTGCTTAGATCCATAATATATGAAAGCATATCTTTCTTACTTTTTCCTTAACATTAAAAAAAACTACAGTCCATATTTTATTCAGATTTTCTTAGTTCCTAACCTAGTGCCCTTTTTTCTTCTGTTCCTGGAAAGCATATTGCAATTAGTCATCACAATGCCTTAATCTCCTCCAGGCTTTGACAGTTTCTCAGACTTTCCCTGTTTTTTGATGATCTTGACAGTTTTGAGGAGCAACCTACTAATTATTGTACTTTCCTTTAGCCCTTTTAAAATGCCTTACAGAAAAAGAAGTTGACGACACAGGTTACTTTTTCCTCATGCCTCAGATGAACTTTACCAATAAAGATTAAATCCAAAGAAAAAGAATTTCTCAATAGAGGAACACAGTGATCACCACCTATTCCACTTCGGAGCATATGGATGAATGAAAGAGTATCTGCTCATATGACCTGGCTATTCATTAGACCCAAGATCTACAAGAATAGATGAAAAAAACGAGGGTGATTTTTATAGAAAGGGTCCAGGGATGCTTCACTGGCTGTGAGCAGATGTTTTCTGACTTTCCTGAGCTTGGAGCCAGAGGCTTAGGCTGCTGTGTGGGGAATGCAGACTGGATGACACTACTGAGAGATCTCCCGGAGGTTTATGAATACAAACCTGGTGTCCTCCCCAGTGGAAGTTCCGGAAGGGTGCTCTGATGTAGGCAGGTCTGGCTGAGAAGGGGAGGCAGGTAGAGGGACCAGGGGATGTCCCTAGAGTTTGAGTTAATCTTCTTGTGGAGCTTCTCATGGTGTCTAAGTCCAGAAGTGTTAATGGTGTCAGATCTCTGAGTGGGATAGCTTGGTTTAGCAAATAAAAGACAGTACTCCCAGTTAAGGTTGAATTTCAGATAAATTATGAACTAATTTTTTTCTTGTCAATTTGGGACATACTCAGGTTAAAAAGGTACCTGTTGTTTATCTGAAAATTCAGTTAACTGGGCATTCTGTGTGTGCAACCCTGTGCGTGTGTATGCAGATGGAGGGGTGGGATGGGTGTGCATTCTCTGGCTACACTGCTACTCTGGGGAGTGGACACCTTAATGTGAGGGACAAAGGGGACATGGCTTAGTCCCAAAAGGTACCCAGGTCACCATTTGAAGGAAGTCAGCCTCTGACATCATTGGGGCAGTGCTATTTTTGTTTCCTTCAGTATTTTCTAATAGACAGGTCCAAGAAAATCAAATCCAATAGGATCAGAAATAAGGAACAGCAAAGTTATATTTCCCCACAGCCATTTGATTTTTCCATCTGTCTTGTTAAATTAGTTTTGGCTTCTGGATTCTTGGACTAGTGGTTAGCTTTATGGCTCTCTTCTCATCCTTTCTAACTTCTGGTTTTCTTAGAAATATTTCCAACATCTCAGAATAAAAACTGAGCTTTACAAAGATTTCCTATGCATTGGATTATTAAAAATTAAATATAACTATAAAAATTAAGTGTTACAGCATGTTACATGTCCAGGTAAAACACATGGGAAGAATAATATAAAAACATCTATCTGAAATTGGTTTAAGAATGTATGCTCTTGACCTCCAAAAAAATAAGCAAATGTATTATGCTTGATACCTTTCACAAATCAACTGAGTCAATATCTGAGAGCATTTAAAAGCCTTTGCAAAATACAGTTGAAACACCATAATCTTTTAATGGAATAAATTCCCATTAGCATCAGCTGCTGCATAATGTTCATTACAGTGATTATAAATGTTAATTTCTCAGAGTAATTATAATTTCCTTTCATCTTCTATGGCAGTGTTTTTTAAACTGTAGGTTATGACCCATTAGTGAGTTATGAAATCAATTTAGTGAGGTACAACCAGCGTTTAAGAGAATGGAATAGATTAGAATAGAAAATATTCAATTCACTGCATAATTGTCCATGTAAACATTATTTTGTGTACTTTAATTTCAATTATATAACTACTTGGTTATGAAGTGAAATGTATTTTTATGGTACATTTTTTGATATGTCTTATTCAAAAAAGATCCAAAATATTCTACAATACAAAAATGAGTTTGAAGACTGATTCAAGGGCAAAGCCTAATTTAAAGTCTTACAAATTAGTGAAAGAGAAAAATTTTCATTAGAAGATGATGGCCACTATGTTTTTACTGATAATTGGATCACTTCCCCATTTGCTAAGAGGTTTTTTGTTTTTCCTTTGGTTTTTGAGACCAAGTCTCACTATGTAGTCCAGTCTGGCCTCAGACTCATGGCAATCCTCCTCCTTCAGCTTCCAGAGTGCTGGCATTAAAAACAGTACTTGCGGACTGGGGATTTAGATCAGTGGTTCTGCCACCTGCCTCGCAAGCACATGGTCCCGAGTTTGATCCCCGTACCAAAAAAAAAAAAATACAGTACTTGCTATGAATTTTTTTCAGGGTCATAATGTGGTGAATTGTTTCTTATAATCAAAGGGACAAGGACATCTTGGTGGTATATATAAGTGAGGGCTATAGGGTTGGACGGGTCTACCTTATACTGGCCAACTCATCTTAGGCACATATATAAATTGTTTTATGCTTCAATTTACTAATCTATAAAACAGAGTTTATAATACACTGATAATTGAACTGTTGTAAAGAATAAACAAATTTATATAGAATGCATCTAACACAGTATTTGGCATAAACAAGTCCTTAGTAAATGTTAATTACCAATATTATTACTTTTCTTACCTTTATATGAGAATAACAAATATCAGAGAGCAACTTGCCTCAAACTTTTTGTCTCTACTGGAGGATTAGTGGGGCCAGAGTATATTTTGTGGTTCAGTCCATGCATGGTCTCTGGTCTTTTAATTCTTCTGCCATGTGTCTGTATTTTCTAGTTCACTGAAATTAGATGGTTTAGAGTAGAGGTCCTCAGTCTGGGATTCCTGCTACATCTCATAGGACAATGAATCTCCTGAAGTGTGATCAGGATTCTGAATGAGTGTCCATATATATTTGGGGGAGTGAATGGAGAGGACTGAGGATCACTGTTGTCTAAGGGGTCACATGTTGGTATAGTGACAAGTTAGTCACGTTTTGACTTGAGTCCAAGCTTACTAATCAGCATTATAACCTTTAGCAAGTTACAAAACCTACTATGGCACTACTTACCCGATCTATGAAATGGGGTTAAGAGTACCTCCCACATCTTACAATTGTTGGAATAATTAATGTTCATAGTAGTTGTAAAAACCTTAGCTCAGTGGCTGCCACATGATAGATCATCAAGAAAATAGTAGTAGAAGAAGAGTGGGTAGACGGGAAAATAGAATGAAACAGATGTTTTTCTGAGTATTAATTTTGGAATGTTAAATCTATCACTGAATCATTGAGTAATACCTTCATTTCTTTATTCAACAAAAATGGATTGCATGTTGCCATGAATTGGAGATCGTATGAGGTAGTGAGAATGGAGCAATAAACAAGGCATATTCTCTTTTCTCGTGAAGTTTTTAATCCAGGGAGACCGCAAACCAGGAATGGCCAGCCAAGTGACAAGTGCTGCAGGAGGCAAACTATGGGACAAACTACGAGAATCTACGAGATGTTTCTCACGAAGAGCCACATTCAACAAGGTTTGGGGTTTTGCTTTGTCTTATATGTCCAGCCTAAATTTTAGAACTAAAAAGAGGCAACTTTCTTTCATTTAACACTAAAAATTACTAGTCAAATGTAATCATTAAGGCACATAAAGATGAGGTTTTATCTGCAGAACCTGAAGGAAACCGCACTTCTCTTGGACATGGCTCCAAAAAGGAGGACAGGAAGTGAGATCTCTTTGTAACACTGGGACAAGTGAACAGGGTAGGCACCCATTTTATACATTAAATTCCCAAAACCCAGGGTATTGTATGTTTACCTTAAATGTAATACTCACCAACAATAAGTATAGTAGCTTAATTTGTTTGGGTTATTCCTCCTTCTCTCCCAATGATTTTTGATTTTGAATTTTTGATATATATACATGTTGTACATACACAGACATGCCATGGAAAATGGGTTTTAAAATTAAATAGGCTAGTAATTATTATTAAGTAATTTGAGATAACTTCTGCCAACATTTTCTTTATAAATTTTTATGATGCAGTGGACATGACTTGAATTTAAACCTTATACAATAGTGTATTTAAACCTTATACAGTTGGGTCACACTGTAACAGGTCCATCCCCCCAAAATTTAATAGCAGTAAGAATAACTTACAGAACAGGTTCTATGTTGTCACTTATTGGATGTCTGGGTATCATTTGGGATTATAGCCACTAATAGGAGACATATATTGTTATGTTAACCCATTTAAATTATGTTTGCACTCTGTGGATGCAGAAATTCTTTTACCTTTGAGTAAAGCTGTCAGAATAGCTAAATCAATGTCCTGGTGTCCTTCTGATCCCATCCGAAATACTGTAATCTGCAATTTGAGAAAAAGTGATCATTAGCAATGCATTTTCCCCCCAAGAGAAATTAAATCAACGAGACCACATCTGAACATATAATCTTATTTAATATCTGCAAAATATATTCTTAACCACAGAGCGAGAACACTTAGCAAAGGACTCAGTAGAAAGGCTCTTCAATTCAGTAAGAAGGAGATGGCTCAGCAACTGCCAAAGACCACCTTGGATAATTGCATCAATTGTGGTAACAATAAAGAGAAAGCACAGGCCAAGGAAAATGTCTTCTGTCATTTCAATTTTAAAATTAAGACTTGTGGCACTTACTAAAATAGATAAGCCATAAATGTAAACTATGAGTTGAGAAATTGTGTTAAAAATAGCTAATCTGTTTTTCACACCAGAGAAACCATTTGGTATTTACACATGTGTGTCCTATTTATTTCATGTAAGAGTGTGGCCTCGAAGTGCATCTACTTAGCTATAAATGTCTCTAATTTCTTGTTCTTTATGGCTGAGTAATTCTCCATTTTATAGAAAAACTAAAAGTGTAAATGAGGATCAAAATGTATAATTGATATTGTGTAATAGGAAGAAAAGGTCTAAAGGAGTAGGGGAAGTGGGAGGGGTAGGGGAAAGAAAAGAAGGGGAAAAAAATAGGAGAAAAGGAAAAAAATGGAAGCAAAGTCTTTGTAAATAGGGAAGGGTGGAGGGGGTGAAGGGAGGGCAGGGAAATGGGGAAAAATAAGAATCAAGATACATCATGTAAAGGTACAAGGTCCCAATGATGAATGTAACTATATTGTATACCTAAAATGTACCAATAAACTTAATGAAAAAATAAAAGATAAATAAATTGTACTAAGGAAAAAAATAGCTAATTTCTATGCCCCTTAGTAAATGACCCTACTGTGTGTATATGCACACCTATGTGTTATATAACCATCACTACATTCACTCCTCAGCAATAGCTACTCAAGGGTTTTGACCCTGTGATGTCTCCAACCCTTCAGTCCTCTCACTGACCTTGAGTCTCCTTTAACTTAGCAGTATACTCAGTTTGTAACAAGGAAAGTTGACAATACGGTAACAGCTTTCCTTTTGGTAATCCAAGGAAAAATGCATTCTGTGGGAAGAATAACAGGGAGGAAAGGGAAGAGAAAGCTGGAAATAATTAGTACCTGCAGACTTGCCCACTGACAAGAAAAAGAAAGAGGGAACTGGGACTCATTCTAGAGAAGGTGTTGTTATTAATAATTGATATCATTGAGAATACTCTGTATTTTTGTGATGCTAAAGAATTTCGCTCATAATCTTAACATTTGTTGACCTTAAAAGAAAAACATTATCTTAGTTACTTTTTTTGTTGCTGAGACAAAATACTCAACACTCACAAATTAAGGGTGGAAGGTTTATTTAGCTCATAGTTTTTAGGAGTTTCAGTTCATAATCAGCTGGCTTCAAAGCAGCTTGGCTTGGAAGAAGGGGATCACAGAGAAGAAACAGTTCAGGGCAGGCAGAGGACAGCCAAACAAGCAATCAAGGGATGACCACAGCTCTTTCTATCCCTTATATCTTATCCAGACTACTTAGGGCAGGTAGCACTCACACCCTTAATCTTAGTGCCCTTGAGCCTAGCATTGCACCCTGAAATTATCTCAGCATCACGTACTCTAGATCCAGCCACCTCTGAAAAAGCTCCACCTATGACTGAAAGAAGTTTTGGAGGGACACTTAAAAACAAGCCATAAGAGATATGAGAAATATTTCTTATGTGCACTCAGTATTTGTCAACAAAGGCCTAGTTTTGTTTCTGGGAGGGATCTTTCATAGGTACACAGGAAGTGTTGTGCCGTTCATATTTTCGGTGCAGCAGAGGATTAATTTTTATATTGTACTCTAAGTAAAAAGTGAATCTTTTCATCAAAAAGAGTTTAATATGCCTCTTCATTTGCCACTTTATGGCATATTGCTCTTATACAGAAAAAGAATTCAGGTTTGAGAGAGAAAGAGAAGTATTATATAGCCCATGCAGCATTTTGGAAGCAGAGTTCAACAACAAAAAGCTCAGTATGGAAGGAAGGGTCGAAGAACAAGTGTCCCAGGAAAGAATAAGACTCATTAATGAGTCCATGAAAGGAAAGGGTCATCTCAGTCTAGCTCCATGTTATGTTTTAAATCTAAAATGTCCCCCAAAAGTCTTTTGGAAACTTATGAAATCATGGGGGAGCTATACTCCTTAGTGGACTAGTCTATTGATAAGTTCAGAGCTGACTACTGTTTGAAAGTGTTTCTTGGTTGCAAGAGACAGGGCATGACCTGGAAGTGTGTATGCTTGTTCCCAGCTCCTCTCCTCTCTCTCTGCTTCTTGGATGTCATGATGAGACAATTTGTCTCTGCCAGAACCTTTCATCATGCTTTTCCTGTTGGCTTACCATGAACTGAACACACTGAAACTGAGCCAAAATAAACATCTCGTGTCCTTTAAGTTACAGGGGTCAGGTATTTTACTCAGGGACAGGGAAGCTAACACACCCTAACTGTAGGGACAAAAGCAACATGGCTAAACATCACTAGTTGCTAGCCAAGAACAAGCTTCAGGATGATTTTGAAACAAAGGTCTGCATAATAATTAGCATATAATGAATTTGCATTAAAGAGTAAGACTTAATCTTTCTGTCATATTCATAAAACTTGCCAGAGAACCTCATCATGGAAAAATATAAAACTTCACCAAAGAACAGGAAAGTGGTGGAAAGTACTAAGTTAATTGATGGGAAAGTGTAATATATTAAGCATGCCACTTCTCACTAAATGAAGATAGATTAATTGTAATTTCAATTTTAAAAATCCCCAAAATCTTTTAGTGGTTTTTGATTGACTCATTTTAGAGTTCATCAGAAAGGGACAGTTCTTATAATTGCCAGGGGGATAAAACAAAAACAAAAACTAAATAAAGAGAAAAAAAACCCAAAAGAAAGAAAATAACAAGGGAAAATTTGTCTTACCAGTTATAATGACTTATGAAATAATGGAATTTAAAAACAGTATAATATTGGTACTGGAATCAATGAATACATTAATGAAACCTGAGGTTTTCATGTGCACATATGAGTACTTCAAGTAAGACAGAGAGAACATTGAATATCAGTGGGAAGAAAGATGATTTTGCTGGGGTAATGTGCCTTTCCATGTTCAAAAACCTGAATCGCTGTACTACCTCACAAAGCACACATACAAAATTCCATATGGATTCAAGACATAAAGTTGCATTAAAAATAAAAATATAAACTATCATAATAAATTTAGTATGGGTAAATAGTTCTTTTTCTTTTTATATAATGGAATTTTCAGACTTACATTTTGTTTTATTTTTTAAAACAAGATACAGAAAGTATAGATCATACATGTTAACATTATTCTTTTTGTGTTATCTGTACTTTTAAAATGTCTTTAAAAACAACCCTTTCTAGTTGTTGTATACTTTGATTAGGACTACCCTGCTCGACTTTTGTGCCCAGAGTCCTCAAAAACACGTGTCCCTTATAGAAGATGCCACTGTAAGGGGGCTTACTTTTTCTGAGTGTGGTATATCAGCCCCACCTCCAGGGTCTGAAGGAGCATGTCTCCACCCTATTCATACGCTGAAACTTAATTAACAGTGTGATGGTACTAGGAGGAGGGACTTTTGGGAGGTGATTAGGCCTGGATTAGTAATATTATAAAATTATTATCATTTTAAGAGAGACATGAGAGAGCTGTCTTCCCCCTGCCCCCCTGTGAGGATGTAGCTAGAAGGTGCCATTCATTTTTTATTTTATTTTTTGTATTAAATTCTTTTATTGGTACATTGTAGGTATACAACACAATTACATTTCTCATTGGGAATTGTACCTTTATAT